TCCTTCTACAGGTGTGCAGTGGAGAGCATCCTGTGCTCCAGCATCAACGTGTGGCATGGAGGCTGCACAGCTGCAGAAAGAAAAGCTTTGCAGAGAGTGGTGAAGGCTGCACAGAAGATGTTTGAGTCAGTCTCCCCACCATCACAGACATCTACACCTCCAGATGCAGGAGGAGAGCCACCTGCATCATGAAGGACCCCACTCACCCAGCACACACTTTTTGCCCCGCTCCCCTCAGGAAGGAGGTTAAGGAGCATTAAGTGTAGAACCACTTGACTGAGGAACAGCTTCTACCCTGAGGCTGTTAGACTCATGAATCTCTAAGCAGAATAATCACTGTGAAAAAAAAAATCACTGTAATGCCACTTGAGAGTTGAAATGTGCTGCTGATCTTATGCTGCTGATTTATTTCATGCTGCTGTGTTCATTCATACTCTGCTCACACAGACTCATGTTCGTGCTGCTGTTGTTCAGCGTATTGTTTTTGTACTACTAGTGCCGTGTGTATTCTTAGTTCATATCTTAGATCTTATTACTGTCTTTCTTTTACAATTTATACTTTTGTTGGATGTAACTGGGACACTGTGTACACAATTTTGTTCCGCCACATGTACCACATGAGATAAGAATGACAATAAAGAAACCTTAACCTTAACCTTGACCTTGACATTGACATGTTGAAAATATGTATTTTTAAATGAAATGATGTCATATCAAGGATTAATTAATATTGCTTTCTGAACATTATGTTGTGGACTTAACAAAAAATGAACATTTTCCTAAAGGTCAACAGACAACAAACTGTTAAACAATTTGTAAAGTTCAAGTTGTGCTTTTGTTAATATTTGTGGGAAAAAATATAGTTTGTAAAATATCAAAGTCGTTCAGCAGTTTAGATTTGTTTAAAGACTCGGTTCAGAGCAGCTTGTCTTTTCTGTAACCAGGTTCCAACTAAGAAGCCTTTTTTTTTTTCATATACCCTTTTGTTTATACAGGAAGTCTCATTGAGCCACGAGAACTCATTTTCAAGAGAGACCTGTTTAGGAGCAGATGGAGGTTAAGGGCCTTGCTCATGGGCCCAGAGTGGGGCAAATGTGGGTGCTTCACCTACCCCACCCACATTTTTGATGTTGTCGGTATCGGGGCGTGAACCGGCGGTCTTCCAATCGCAGGCCCACCTTCTTTAACCTCTGCGCCACCACTCCCCCTTTTTCATGAGGCAAATCAAACTCTGGGAGATCAAATTACTGTTCTCGAGTGAAACACTGATGCTGTAAAGAGCCTCATTTCACTCACATGAAGCCCAGCTTTGTTTCCATTTGCTTCCTCTGACCACCTGTCTCTTCTGGTCATCTCAATCTCTTCATAATTTCCCTCCATATCACTCAGTTTCCTGCAGTTTTGCCTGTTGATGTAGCAGTATGCAGATTGTAAATTACATAAAATCACACGCAACACTCTGCTACTCATGTCCTGTCTGTCTCTGCATCTGCTTCCTAAATTAGACTGTTTCAAATTGTCTACCACCTCCATGTCCACCCACCACCCTCATAAAGCAGATTAAATTCATTCAGCATCCTAACACACGCTCCTTCCTCTCAAAATGATTATGGTTACACCTTCAGCATGTGCTGGAGGACTCCATTTAAAGCAGAACTGGTCACATGTGGCTGTTATCTGGATTATGGTGTCTGTCTCTGACTTGCTCCATCAGGGGGCAGCTGCAGCAGTGTGTAAAGTTTTTAAACGGAAGTGAAATATAAACCTTAACCCGAACTGAAAGAGGATCAGATTACTGTTCCCACACACATCTTGTACTTGACAGTACATCCTGAAAGTATTCACAGGGTTCCCCCCACATTTTATGTTACAGCTGCTTCTTCATCTTATTCTTAATCTTCTTCTTTTGGCTTTTCCCTCTTCAGGGGTCGCCACAGCGAGTCATCCTCCTCCATCTCACTCTGTCCTCTGCATCCTCTGTCCTCACTCCAACAACCTCCATGTCCTCTCTAACTGCATCCATATATCTCCTTTGTCTTTTTCCTGGCAGCTGCATTTCTAACATCCTTCTACAAATCGGATTCCAAAAAAGTTGGGACAATAAACAAATTGTGAATAAAAACTGAATGCAATGATGTGGAGATGGCAAATGTCAATGTTTTATTCGTAATATAACATAGATGACAGATCAAAAGTTTAATCTGAGTAAATGTAACATTTTTAAGGGAAAATATGTTGATTCAAAATTTCACAGTGTCAACAAATCCCAAAAAAGTTGGGACAAGTAGCAATAAGTGGCTGGAAAAGGAAATTGAGCATATAACAAACAGCTGGAAGACCAATTAACACTAATTAGGTCAACTGACAACATGATTGGGTATAAAAAGAGCTTCTCAGAGTGTCAGTGTCTCTCAGAATCCAAGATGGTAAGAGGATCACCAATTCCACCATTGTTGTGCAGAAAGATAGTGCAGCAATACCAGAATGGTGTTACCCAGCGTAAAATAGCAAAGACTTTTAAGTTATCATCATCAACCGTGCATAAAATCATCAAAAGATTCAGAGAATCTGGAACAATCGCTGTGCGTAAGGGTCAAGGCCGTAAAACTCTACTGGATGCTCGTGATCTCCGGGCCCTTAAACGTCACTGCACCTCAAACAGGAATGCCACTGTCAAGGAAATAACAGAATGAGCTCAGGAATACTTCCAGAAAGCATTGTCAGTGAACACAATCCACAGTGCCATCCGCTGTTGCCAGCTGAAACTCTACAGTGCAAAGAGGAAGCCATTTCTAAGCAAGCTCCACAAGCTCAGACGTTTGCACTGGGCAAGGGGTCATTTAAAATGGAGTGTGGCAAAATGGAAGACTGTTCTGTGGTCAGATGAGTCACGATTTGAAGTTCATTATGAAACACTGTGACGCCATGTCATTCGGACCAGAGAGGACAAAGATAGCCCAAGTTGTTATCAACGCTCCTTTCAGAAGCCTGCATCACTGATGGTATGGGGTTGCATGAGCGCTTGTGGCATGGGCAGCTTGCATGTCTGGAAAGGCACCATTAATGCAGAGAACTATGTTCAGGTTCTAGAACAACATATGCTCCCATCTAGACGTCATCTCTTTCAGGGAAGACCCTGCATTTTTCAACACGATAATGCCAGACCACATTCTGCAGCAATCACAACATCATGGCTACGTAGGAGAAGGATCCGTGTACTGAAATGTCCAGGCTGCAGTCCAGATCTTTCACCTATAGAGAACATTTGGCACATCATAAAGAGGAAGGTACGACAAAGAAGGCCCAAGACGATTGAACAGTTAGAGGCCTATATTAGACATGAATGGGAGAGCATTCCTGTTTCTAAACTTGAGAAACTGGTCTCCTCTGTCCCCAGACGTCTGTTGAGTGTTGT